ATATCTTGAGACAGACAATTTGGTGCAGCGTTAAGGGATCAGGCTAGAAACTAGGAGAGTATGAATTCTAGTCCTGCCTTAGGCACAAAGCCAGCTGGGTGACTGGGCTAGTAACTTTCTCTCAACCTTACGAAGGAGGCACTTCTGAGAGACCTTGTCGAGAAAACTACAGGGACTTGTCCAGGAAATCTCTGAGCACTGGACAGAATTAAATGAAAGAAAAAAAAATGGATATCTTATCCCAGTGTCTGGAGGCTCCTGCTTGAAGAACAGGTAGTAGCCATGGCTAAGAGGGCTTTTTTACGGCTTTGTGTTGTTCATTAATTATACCTATTTTTGGATCAGGAGGGGGGAGGCTCTGTTCACAATTAGTCATACCTTGGTCACCACATTGGATTAGATTGTGGGAACTCATACTACTAGCAATTTGCATTTTTCAACCAATTTACACATGCTTAAATGCTAGACTGAACTGTATTATTTGACAACAATATATGCATGCTTGTATATGTATAAATGACTAGAAACTACTTACCGATTCTGGCACACTTCCAAAATATGCCCAATAATCTGAAAATATATGTTTTTATTTTTACTATGATTAGAAGCAAATTACAGTATTACAGATACAACAGTAAAGACTAATATCCCAATACTTATTTTTAAGGAATTGGAAATCTGCTAATATTTTTCATGTTCTAAAATGCTTTTGAATTGTTACAAATGCCATAACAAGTGACACAACACACAATTTTAAGTATTGCCCTGTAAATCTTGAGTTTGCTCATTTAGTTCAAAAATGGATATTATAGCCTGTTGTATGATACAGCTGATTAACCTAAAGCTCATTAAAGCATTATTTATTTATTTATTTTATTTGTTAAATTCATTTGTTTCCTATTTCCATGGTGTTACTTTACAATGGCATCAAAGGCCACTGAAAGATCAGGAAGAGCAAGAATGGTTGCACTACCCCACCCTGCTCCTATCAGAGATCATCCATGAATGCAATCAAAGCTGTCCGTCCCATAGCCAGGCCTGACTCCTGACTGAAAAGAGTTCAGGAAATCTGTTTCAAGGAGGATCCCCTGTAGCTGTTGAGTAACCATGTTTTCCACGACCTTCCCAAAAAAGGAAGATGGGAGACTGGACAAAAGTTGTTCAAGCAGGTGGGGTCAAGTGTTGGGTTTGTAAGGAAAAGACAAACCAAGGCCTCCTTAAAAGGTCCTAGGAATGTCCCCTCATGGACTGAGGAATTTATCACTTAAATGTGAATTCCAGAGGTTTCCAGAAGTTGCAGCCAAATTTTTATTAATGCTTTAGAGAAAATTATTTAACAACTGCAGTTTACTAAAATATATTTAAATGGTAAAAATAGACATCAAATTACATTTTTTGGCTATTTTTTAATTTGGCTTTTAAAACCTAATGGCCTTCTTCATACCAGGTTGCTTGGAAATTCAATTTAGCTTCTGCAATCATTCTTAAACTCCTGAGTTTCAAAGAAAAGGCATGGTGTCAAAAATATAGAGTGAACTCTATGAAGGATGTGCTACTTTTATTGCTTATTTTAAAATGATATGTAAGAAAGTTTTATTTAGAAAGAGGGCTTTTAGATTGGGCATTTTAGCTTAATTAGTGTTTTACTGAATAAGTATTAAATTGTAAGTTATTTTACATATTTATTATGTGATTTGTACATTGTCAGCTTCAAACTAGGTTTCAGCTATTTACAGTCATAAAAATGCCAAATAAAACCACAGAATTGTAAAATCTCCATAAAATAATAATAAAAAACAATATAGAACACTGAGGGATGACATTAACTTTTAAATTATTTTCTCTAATGGTCTAAATAGTGAAATCTCATACTTCTTAGAAAGGCAGGCTCCATTTTAAGAAAATGAAAATGTTCTGTGACTTATACTGTAATTAAGCTTTTGAGGATTAAGAATGATTTGTATTAATGAATCAATGTAAAAAAAATCAACATAGTAAAATTAAAAATAAGCAAGCTTACATGCATATCCTTTCCCCAAATTTCTAGAAATGCACATACCCTGTTTTATTGTTATCCAGTAATCTGGGAGCCAAAGATCTTAAGTACGCACATGTACATATAAGCAGTAAGATTACTGTCAGAAGACTCTGAAAATTGAAGATCGCAGACTGAAAGAAAATGTGATATATTAGTTACTCACCAGTTTTTAAAAGTTCTCTTTACTATATTCATTTACTTCTTCCCATAATACAAAAATAAGAAATTTAATAGCCTATTATTATTTATGTTATAATTCTAATATATCCATTCTATCTAAAGCAAGAAGCAATGAAATACTAGACAATTTCTTTTTCAATATTGAGAATTTCATTCATAAATTACATGCTTTGCAAATTAAAATCTTAGTTTGTATTCTATTTCAATAGTCAAAATGTTTGTTGGGTATCATGATCTGATTACAAACTTGGGCTTTTAAGCAAAACTTGGAATATACCAATCTAAAAATAAGGGAACACTGAGTTCTAGTTTCATCTTAGGTATGAATCCAGCTGTGTGACCTTGGGCCAATCATACTCTCTCAACCCAACCTATCTCACAGGGTAGCTGTTGTGGGGCAAATAGGAGGAAGTTGTGTTGGATATGTTCACCTTCTTGAATTATTTGTAAAAATAATAAAGATGGGATACAAATAAATACTCTTGTCTTCTCAGTAAGAGATGACTGCATACAGTCATGAGAAAGGGGCAGATTTTGCTCTTACCACGACAGTATCTCAAAGTGCAATACAGAGTGAATCAAATCATATATAATTTAGATGTAAACCTGGAGAGCTCAGGATATGCTTTATGTGCAGAAAGGCCCAGCTGTAATCCTTGACATCTAGTTTGGGTTCAGAAAGGCCAAGTTGATTTGTGCTTTAAACCTTGAAGAATTGATACCAATCAATAACACTGATACTTGGTAGTCTCATTTGTTGTAGTAGGTTTGTCTGTTCTCATAATGGATTCTAATTTTTTCAATCAATCAATCAAAATAGTGCTGGAAGGAACCTTGGAGGTCTTCTAGTCCAACAGTGGACCTATACCATTTTGAATAGTGCACAGTGTGGAAATTGAAATTCCTGTCTTATGACCCCAAAAGACAGGGATTTATTTGAACATATGACTTCAGATATTAGTTTGAAGTAAGCCAGTTAGAATTGTCAATTCACACACTGTGTCATTGAACTAAGTGAGGAACTTTTTTGTCGACCAGATCTACAAAAATAGTTCTTACAATCAGTGCTGCTAAACAATTCTCAATCCTTCCAAGGATCTATTTCAAAAGACAAATTTTTCTTGCTACTTGACATGCTTAGGATTGTATTTCTTCTTCTTTTAAGGACCTCCTGACTCAATACCTATTATTTCCGTGAAGTTTCTGCCTGCCATAGCGCAATTAAGTTTGTAATTAAATATAACTGATACAACTGTCCTAATTAAATGTCACAATTCTTTCACTTTCTGTCCCCTATTTTTTTTGCCTCAAATGTAATAAAAGGAGGCAAAACAAAATATACAAGCTGATTTTAAATAGAAATGGAAGGACACACAACTTAATGCAGCAGAATTATCTCCATGTAAATACGTCTTACAAAGTTATTGATTCTAATGTTGTATTGTTTTGGAAGGCTTCTTAAGTACTGCACATTTTCTTCTTGTTTTTGCTCCCTGTTGTTCTGTCTTTGGGGGGGGGGGGAAATTCTGTCATTTTTTAAAAATCACATTAGCCATGTTTTATCTGTTGTCATATTGCACACTCCACAAAGTGCTGAGATTCATCAGACTGCAGCACAGTACAGGTTGAAAACAGTAGATTCTGCTTTGTGTTTTAGAAACAGTGATCAGCAAAAAAGGCACCTAAATATTTTGCCTGGCATCTCTAGAACTAGTGTACAATTCTATGTAGCAAATATTTGTTTAGGACACCAGGGACAAAAGACAATGAAATCAAAACGTGAATCTTTTAATTGCAACAACTGTGCAAATTGACCACAAGTGCTTTCAATACTGGTTACAAATGCAATTTTTCGACGAAAAAATAAAACAAAGGTATTACACTTCTTCGAATAATATAAAAGCAGGAGGCACAGAGGTAAGATAGGCAGTAAACAAACGCTTTTACTGCATACATATAGAGGGCTGTGTCTACACACAACCCATTTTTATCCACGATTAACTTAAACTGCAGTATTACTGCACCCTGAATTACAAAGGCAAGATTCGCACAAAACTCTTGAGGCACAAACGGGCCAAGATTTCGCCAACTGCAGTTTACACAAAGAAGAAGACGGGGAGGAGTAAGAAGTGATGCTCTCTTTTTGAGCCACCACCTTTCACGAGGTCGTCATCTAGGCCTCTTTTGCAACGCCAAAGGCGGGCGAGGCCACACTTGGGGGGAAAGGGGCCACAGCGGCCTTCCACGCGCGTTATCGGGCCATTCCCAAGGGCGCGCCCGCCAAAGGAGCCGCAAGGCCCGGCCGCCCGTGGCTTCCAAACGGGAGGCCTCTTTCCCGAACGCCGCTCTTACCATAGTTACGCGCCGCCACGAGCCACATCACACTTCCGGTAACCAGGGGGGCGGGATCTGAAAGAAAGATGAGCCTCAGGCGCCTGCCGATTGGACGGAGTAGAGACGCCGACGAGAAAGTGTCTGGCTTGTGATTGGAAGAAAGAGAAAGTGAGAGTCACTGAGCCTGGGATAGGAAGGAACGGCGGTAGGTTCTCGATAGTTCATTTATGAAAAGAAAAAGCAAGGCCATTTATGTGTTCTTGTGCGTGCGCGCTTCCGTGTACGCATAAACACACACCACACACAGGCGGAGTTTACGCATAAAAAACGGAAGTCGAATTTTTCAGTGCTGTTCAAGGTAGGAAAGGGAGGGGGGGAGCAGGAACCGGCACAGTTGGAGATACACAGACACCCACCCACCAACCCCGGCCACACTCATGGCATTTGATATAAAAGGTGTGCGTATATCAAGAGTACCAGTGATGCTCTCTCCGGGTCAGAGCTTCATTAACAATTTCTTGGCATTTTTCTCTTATTTGGTTCAACATTGGTCCCATTTCTGCTTCCCCAAGCCAAATATGAGCTTCCTTCTTGTGTCTGCATGTGATTGTGAGGTAGCATAGGGTAAGAAGATTTGGTGGAGAAAGGTTACACCTTGTGAATTTGTGACTCGAGGACGTTTGAGAACTCAAAGGTGTCACGCGTGGGCTGAGGAATAGTATTGCATTTTTATTTTTCCCAATACCTAATTTTTTTTCTCTTCCTAACCTTGCAAATTGGGAAAAAGGAAAGTGAAAACTTCTCCTAAGTGATTCATTGGCATTTGTGAGTTGGTTGACAGAAGTACACTTTCTATGTCACAGAAACTCTTGTGTTTTCTTACAAAGTTCTGATAGGTGAGCTGGTAACTTTTTATCAGGGCTTGTTTTATAGAACAGATTGATGCAAATCTCTGATCTGTAGCTTGTATATTGATAAATTTTGAAGATATTTTATTGATGCTTGATTTGGCCTATCTGATCAAATTACTCTATCAATCAACTACTTACTAATGGTCAAATTCCTCTTATTGTTTGACTTTCAAGTTAGTGACTACTTCCTTATATTTTCTTTTGCCATCAGTTGAATTTTTGTTCCTTTAGTCATAGCATTGAAAGTTGATTCCCCCCCCCCTTTCCGGTATTTCACAGTATTTCAACATCAAACTACCCAGAAATAAACATTAGTGAAATAAATCATAAATAGGGATATGATGACCAAATCTGGTATTAATATGCATCTTTTAAGTATTTTCTTTAGTTTTATACTGCTTCCTTTAGGCTGTCTGCCATGGCCTAGATTTTTTTTCCTGGTTAGTCATTATAAGTATATATGCAGAGTTGGAAATTTTGTTCCTATGCATCATTATAAACTTACTTTTATTGAACCAGATTTTCCATTTTATTGCCTGATGTTCATAGATGTTCATACACAAGTTTTAATGTTCTGTAAATTTGATTCCAACTGCAAACTTGACCATATGATTTGTTAGTGGTAACTTTAGATAATTTATAATCTGAAGTACAGGCCTAAAAAAGGATCTTTGGAGGATGTCCTCCACTTGCTTTTGGTATATGATTATAAAAACTGGTCATTTAGTCATACTGTTTCCCATTTTAAAAAACATATATTTTTCTATTATCTCATAGCTACTGAATTTATTCAAAAGCCTTTGACGAAAGATTTTGCCAAAAATCTCCCATATTGTCCAATCCTTCCAAATAAGTTTACACTTCCAAATAAGTTTAAACATCAGTACATGAGATAGAACTTATATCTGTGAAGACTGAAGATTCTGCCTCAACAAACATTTTGTTCTTAATAATCCTTTTTTACATGAAACAAGATAAGGTAATACACTAAGAAAAAATACTCTCTCGATTTCTGTTCAACTGACCTTTTCCATTTTTGCAAAGGCCACCAACAGAACCAGCACCATGTCTGCATTGGGGAGATCAAGGGCAATAAAGTGGTGGACATAACTGGAAGATTAAAGTCCCACTTCTTTTTAATATGGGGCCATGCACATTGCATCCATAATAAAAAAAGGCAGGACTTTGCCTATTCACACCCTCTCTTTTGTTGTGGTTGACTTCCCTGTGGATATTCTCCAAATATTTATTTGTTATAAAATTAGTTATGTTTATGTAGATATGAACTGGCACAAATACATTGTTAAAAAGCTGTAGAAGTGGTTCTTTTCAGCAATCTTTCTCACGTTCCAGCTGCGCCAATATAAATCCAGTCTGTTCCTGGGCGCAAAACAGCTTTCTGATCTTTTTGTCTTGTGATGCATATTAGTCTATTTCAGCTCCTCTAACGTTTCCTTTCTTCAATTCTTGTCTTCTAACTGAATATCACTGATATGACTCTGTGCCATTATTTACACTTGAGTCATACTGTACTGATCTTTGACCAGATTCCAAATGATGGTATCCACAGACGAGTTCATCCTTGATTACAGTCAGTACATCTTGTGGTTGACTTAATCCCTTACTGTGCCCACTGTCCTAACATGACATCACTCTGCAGACAAGGCCTGCCTTTTTCCTTCTTATCTGCACAACATGGTATAATTCTTGCCAGATTCATGTTCTTCTCCTCCTGTTTCTTTTCTTCATCTTTTAATCCAGTCTTTTTCTGCAACCAAAACTCCTCTTCTTCAGAAACAACTTATAATAATTCTTCTAAATAAACCAAGAAGCCAATAATAATAATTACCTCAGCAATCTCTTTTCTTAACCTAAAATACTAAAATTCTAAAAAAGAAGGAAGGAAAAGGGGAAGGGAAGGGAAGAGAAGAAAAGAGAAGGGAAGAGAGGAATTATTACTCTAAAATGCTGATTCCCTTTTTTATCTCATTTTTGAACCAGATAACTTTTTAATCATGTTATAAAAAGGTTCATTATCTCCAGGAATAGGGTATACATAATATATCAATAATATCCTAGTGTCTATGTTCTCTGTTGGATACTTTGGAATGGTAAGAACAAAAAATCAGGTCTTATTCTATATTTGCAAGAAATGTCTCTCTTTTGGTGTAGCAGAGACCATTCTCTATCTTTCTGTCAGTCATGATGTTTTTTCTTTCTTTTTCAAATGAAAAAGAATTATTTTCTTTATAAGTTGATGTAACATTTAGACCACATCCAAGATTGTTTCCATTTTTATTATTAACTAGGCTTTCTTTTATTAAAAAATAAATAAAGCAAAGTAGATTGGATTGGTAAATTCCGATTTGAATGTTTAACAGAAAGTCATTTAAAATGATCCAGCAATGTTATGTGACTATGAGAATAAAGAGCAAATTAAATTCATTCAGCACACAGTGGAATACAGGTGGCAGGAAATGGATCGTAGCTGAGTTTAAGCATTTGATAAGTGTTGGCTTTGATGGTTTTCATTAGATCCAAAAAATTTCACAACATAAGTTGCTAGGAACTGAGCTTTGTATTAATATATTAATATAATATATTTTATTACTTTGGGTCTATCATCTACTTTAAAAGTAATTGTGATTTTCTATTGAAGAAAAAAAAAAGAAAACCTGAAATTTAGACTTCTTCAGATGTTTTGATAAAAGGAATATTTAAAAAAATCATATCAACATGTTTTCATTCCTTTACAGTTTTTCATTTAATGCACATTGTACATTTTCATTGTGAAAATCAATATTACAGGTATATTTGAATAAGTGCTGTGAGTTGATGTTAAATTAATATAAAATGGGAGAGAAATACAATATAATTCAGAAATGTAGGTATTTTAACATTGTAGTATTACAGGCATTTTTGAAGAGGGAGAGAATTCAGCAGATATTTAAATATAGATATACCATTTATATTTAAAGTTCTGCTGAATTCCCCCCCCCCCCTCTCTTGCTATTAATAGCAGCAAAAATATCATTTTGATGGATTTCTTGGGTTGTTTTGGGGGATTGCATCCTTTTAATCTTCAGTTCGGTTGTATATAAAACGTCAAGGTCAAACACAATCCTGATGAGGCCCTCAATGAAATAAAGTTTGACACTCGTGTCTTACAGTATTCATCCAAAGGCTGAAGGGCAGTTGGTTAAGACTAAAGCCTGTATCAACACCCAGGAACATGCTGCATGAGAAAAGGGAGGTGATGGTGATCAGATTTTTATTCTTCTCTCTCTCTCCCTCCCTCCCTCCCTCCCTCCTTCCCTCTCTCTCTCTCTCTCTCACACACACACACACAGGGAGGGAGGGAGAAATCAAGGCAGTGAACATACCTAATACTCCTGCCTCCCATTTCTTGTCTTGTGAGATGAATTGGCCTGAGAGTGACTGGACCAGTATTATCCAGCTGTTTTTTCATGCTTAAGGCAAACTTAGAATTCACAGTTTCCTGATTTCTAGGCCACTTTACCATTATACCAAATTGATTCTCTTGCTTACAACTGTGAGTCTGATTAACTGATGTATAGGATTCCATCACTCCCTGTTTTGTTTGTTGAGAAGTTTAACTTTACTGTTTTAAATATAGGAAGTGTCCATCAGCAACACCCTGGTCCAGACTGTAATATTTATGAGGGTTTTGATTTCTGTCTCTGACCCTATCTTTTATAAAATGATAGCTGCTGTTTGTTCAATATGATTTACTATATAATAAATTAGTAGAAATGCAGTTTCTGTTTTGAGTCTGCATCCTTTATAATACGCAAGAGAATTCCAATAAACTGCTTTAGATTTTTTTAAATACTAAGTTCATTAAAAAGAAACCTTTTGATATCTCAAAAAGAGCTTTCTTACACTGAAAAAATATCTATCACTTTTCATTTGTTCTTATTCATGTCCGATATTTCCCAACCCTCTCCACCACCTAAAACCCCCCAAAAAGGAAATACGATTTTCCAAATGAAATTGTGGTGGTGTTTATAATCAAAATTAAAATAATCAGGCTTAAGTGAATTATTATGGTCTGAAATATTACCGTATTTGCCGGCGTATAAGATGACTTTTTTGCCCCGAAAAACATGCCTCCAAGTGGGGGGGTCGTCTTATACGCCGGTATATCCACTGCCGGCTTTCGGAGGCTTGTTGGACGCAGCGAAGGCGCCTCTGGCTTCCTGGATCCCCTGCGTCGCTTCCGCTTCATCCCGCTCGCCTCGCTCCGCCCGAGGCTGCAGCCTTACTGCTCTTCCCACGGCCCCTGGCACTCTGCCCTGCCGCTGCAGCCCCGGGGATTTCTGGAGGGCGTTTCCGGTGGTGGTGGGGGGTCGTCTTATACGCCGGGTCGTCTTATACGCCGGCAAATACGGTAGTTAAGAGATGGGGTCAGCAAAAACTAGAGAAATGTCTTCATCCTTGTTTACATTAGTGCAGTTTCAGTGAAACCCATTTGCAAGGCAATAGGATCAAAGTTGATTTGAACAAAATCTAGGAATTGTATAAAATGGGAGAAGAGTTAATTTCATTGTAAAATAACTTCTCTACTAAAATCCTTTTTTTTAAAAAATCAGAAGTCTAAAATAGTAATGGTGTGACTTGAGAGGATATATTCTTTCCTTTTTCACCAAAACTTCCATCCATTTCCCCCCCATACTAATAAAACTCTGAGTTGCCAAAGAAGTATGATACAGAAAATATATTGCAGATATATTGGGATCATTCTAACATATATAAAAATATTAAATCTGTACTCTAAATGTAACATGCAGATTTTGAGGGATAACAATTAACAAAGTGTGTGTAAGTCCTGTATTTTTAGGCTATTATTGTTTTCAAGGTTTTAAAGTTCTAAATGAAGGGATACGTGAAATTTTATTTTTTATCTAAAAAAGTCTTTATTCTAAAAATTTCACTGTAAAACAAGCCATGAAATAACTGTTTTAACATAGATGCAGATGGAGAAGATGTAATAATCCTTCTTTCTAAATAGCCTTTTTAACCTCTGATTAAATAGATGTTCATGTCTCCCTTATAGATAATGCTTTTATTATGTTCTGAGGTACCAAGAAACTAGAGGATAAGACAGATAGGTTTTTTACACCATACTTTCTTTATTGTATATTTCCCCAAGAAATGGAATGATGCTGCATGATTAATTGTTCAGGTTTTTCCTTACATGACTCACCACTTTCTTCAGCGCCTAGTACACATGTACTGCCTGGACAGGATTGGGCTATGAATGTAACTGCTAAAGCTGCAATCTTTTAGATCTGCATGTTCCCAAAGCAGAATGGCTGAGGTTTGAGGCACCTGTTGCTAAACCTTTTTCTTAGTCAAATGACAGTTCTGCAAGCCAGAAATGAAAAGCTGAAGTTGAAATATCAATGACACTCTGTAGTGTAATGAAGGAAGCCAAGAGTTGGCTTGAGAGTTACTCAAAGCAGCATACAAAATGATTTGTCAGCTAATTAAAAAACAACTGTCTTGTTTATTCATTAGAACTGTGGACAGTCATTGTTTGTGGAGCAGACTCCAACTAATTACATGCCAGCCAACAGCTGATTCTCCCCCAGAAGGAAGCATTGCCTAATAAAGATCATAGATGCCAACCACTAAATACACAAAGTACTAAAGATGAGCAGTTCAATCGCCAACTGTCTGGGTTTTCTCAATAAAGCTAGTGATAGACAAATTTCGGTAGAACTCTACTATTCCCACCTGAAAGTCAATCTTTGTTCCTTACTTGTCTTATGGTGAGATATTTATATGAAATATGATTCTTTTGTGCAGTTAGGAGAAATCACTAGCCTTTCTATTACCATAATCATTTTGCTTTTTAAAAATGCCTGTAATGATTAAAGGACATTGGCACCAAATGTTTTAATTTTACAGGTATTGCAAATAAGATTATAGAAGTGTCATTATTCCTTGAAAGCCATTTCAATCCATTTGACAATTATTTTGTGTGATACTAGAATGCAGGGTAAACATTCATTCTCATTATCTTTAAAACAAATGTTGGTAAATGTTTGGTTTTGTAAGTGTTATCTTAATTAAATAGTGATAGCATTATTAAATAAAAATTCTACCAATAATTCAGTTGCCACCATATCATATATTCTTAAACACTTTTTTAAAGCTAGTGAGGAATTCTAAAGGTCTTTTTTCAATGTCAAAAATAAGCAAACTAAATATATTTATTTAAATACTTTCTAGGGGGAAAATCGCAATAATGCATTTGAATAAACTATGGACTATTTTATGAACAACTGCTGTTTTTTTTAAATGTACATAGTGTACTTTTTCTACATATTTTTAGAATAATTTAAAAGAGAAATGTGGTTCTGAAGGAATTGGTGCTTCTTAGGAACACACATATTTCTAGGAAATTCTGCAAATCCATGAATTGTAATGGCAGGTTTGTGTATCTAAGTACACAGAAAATATTCATGGATCTTTGTTGGATCTTACATATGCCTTTTATTTTATCAGCGTTAGTGCTTCTGTTATGTCTTCAGTTACATGGAATGTGTTGTGTTATTAGGCTACATGGAATGTATTGTGTCATTAGGCTACATGGATAAGACTATCCTTGTGACCTTATTAGGCTAGGGGCAACAGCAGGAGGTTGGAGAAAACACATTGACAAAAGTTATGAAGATATCTGTGCCATTTAAAATCTTTGTGCGATCTTCGTTTTCTAGAGTGAACTAATTTATTTTGGCCACACATTGTCTATAAATTTATGGGAAAATCTGACCTTTAAATACTCCTATCATATACTGCTATACTCAGGCTGATGGGACCCGCACCATGTTTCTTCTGCCAGCACAAGTGGTACAGGCCAATCCCAATGGGCTGAGGCAGTCCCTCAAGTAACCTGGACTTAATGCCATGAAGAGCTTTAAACGTAATCACCAACACCTTGAATTGCATCTGGAAGCAGAGTGGTAACCAGCACAGAGCGCGGAGCAGTGTTGTTACAGAGGCCATGCTTGGGGCTCCCAAATCTACCTGTGCTGCCGCACTCTGCACCAGCTGTAGCTTTTGAATGCTCTTCAAAGGTAGCCCTATGTAGAGCACATTCTCCGAGTGCAGGGAATCCAGGAAAGGCCACAACTGGTGCATAACACAAAGTTGTGCAAAAGCTCTTCTAGTCACCACTGCCACCTGTTTCTTGAACAGGAGTCACGAGACCAGGAGAACCCCCAAGTTGCAGTCCAAGTCTTTTGGGAGCAGTGCCATCCCATCCAGAGTCAAATATGACAAAATCCCAGGTCTTGGAGCCCCACATACTCAAAACCATTTGGTCTTACCAGGGTTCAGTTGAAGCCGGTTGTTCCCCATCCAGGTCCTCACAACCTCCCCACAACTGTGCAAGGGCAGCTACGACATCACTTGGGTCACCAAGCATAGAAATATAGAGTTGGGTGTCAACAGCATACAGTGTTTACCTCAACGTCTGATGATGGATGATCTCACCCAAAGGTTTCTTATAGATGTTGAAAGTGGAAAAACAGTTTCTTATAGATGTTGGGGTGGAAAAAGAGTTTCTTATAGATGTTGGGGTGGAAAAAGTACTGAGCCCTATGGCATACCACAAAATAGCAGCTGAGGGCTGGACTTCTCACTCCCTATCAATACTGAATGGGACCTGCCAAAGGAGTCGAACAAGTGCATAACTGTGCCACCCATCCCCTTCCCCTATTAAGGTTAATAAGGATAATTTTACATAGATTTTATATTTAAAAGCTGAATGTGGCATTCATAAGCAATTTTAAGACAGATTAAATTATATATTAAAGGTGTCCATTTTATGCTTAATAATATTGAGGTCACCACAATACTGAATTGTTACTTATTGAGTTTTTGCGTGTAAAAACCTTCTTTAACACCCAAAGTTTAAATATGTCTTCATAATAGCCTTTAAAAGTAAATTTTACTTTTTATAGGAAGATGAAATTATTTTATCTAAATGTTTGCATTAATCTATACAGATTATATACAGGTCAGCAGTGCTTGTGAATTTTGTATTTTGAAATTTGCTTATATTCACTGAAATGGAAATATATGTGCTGTTTACCTTTGTAACTTTTAACTTCTGCTTTTTTTTTAAACAGTGACTAGAAAAATATGGAGAAGAAAATGAGACAGCTGTGTCCTATTTCTGATCCAGACACAACATATTTTCTGCAAATAACTTGGTGCAAAGATCTGGGTATGGGTTTTGATCTTATACTAAGTGATGGCCAATCATCTTGGACTGGAAGAGGTATAATAAATTTATAATAAAGTATAGTAATTTGATAAATTACTGTATGACTTACTACCATTGATTTATTAATGGGTTTCCCACTCACCCTTTTCTACTTATGTTCTATTTATCCCAAAATTAGTTGAAGTTTACCCTATACTCACAATTATTTTATAATTTTGTTCTTTTGTTCCTTGAAGAGAGTCTAGAGCCAATTCTGAGTATTCAATGAGGCAGAAAAGGGAAAATTTGCTTCCATTGTTTCTGCCTCATTACAGGTGCTTATTCTTGTCCCCTGGTTGGGAAGAGTAAAACCTGAAAATCATAGCCAGTTCCTTTATTGGGCTCTGGAGACTGTATGAAATCAGTGGAGATTATAATTATTCTAAAATCGATATTTTATAGATTACTAAATTAACATCCAAATTAAATTCTTCTGTCGAGTTGTATAAATCTATAATTTCATATTAAATTATAAATTTTACAATATAATATATTATAAAACTTCAGTGGACTTCTAGTTGAACGATCTTTGAACAGATCAAAGATTGATCCAGGCCAGCATTCTATACCTACCATCTCTATCCAAGTACTGATAGGAACTACAGTAACAACTTAAATACATTGATAGCTTTCTCTTTATGTTCTTTAGTGATTGGTATTTAGAGATCCTCTGACTATTGTACTGGAGATACAGTGTATCCTTCATTACTGGTAACTATGGTAGTGTTTCCTCCATAATGATCTTTTGAAGTTGATCATCTTTTCTACATATAATTATGTATTATAAAGCAGACAACTTCAATTGTCTTAGTTTTTAAATGTCTTTTCAAATATAACCATAGTGCTGTGATCTGTAAAATGTTTGCTCTATTTTAAAAATATGGTATAAGAGGTTCCTTGTTAGGAAGGCCTCTTGCATTTTCACTATTTTAAAGAAAATCTAAAACATGTAATATTTTGGTTATACTTTTAGAAAAGTATGATTTCAAATAAATTGAAATGTGTTTGAAACCTATCTATTCATATCACAACAACTATAATGGCCTTTCTTTCAAATTTATTTTAATTCTTTGAATTACTGTCTATTAGTGTCTGAAGAAAAGATTTCCAGAGAGGCTGCTGACATGGAAATGAAACAAGAAAAGTATGTAGAAGAACTTAAAAAAGTACTGTTGTTTGACCAGTTCTCAGATACATACCGTTTTGATATTTCTAAAAAAGAAATAAATGGAGAATCAATTCATTTTTCATATGAAAAGAATTTGAAAGATGTTACTGTAAGTATTGCTTTGTTACGTTTATTTATCCATTTTTATGTCATAAAATCAATATTTGAGGTCAAGTCTTCTGGAACAATGGATGCTTAGGTGTTTGTCTTAAATCTCAGAAATTATAAATTCTGGTATACTACTGAAGTATTAGCATAATATTCTGTTTTTAAAAATCAGTGAGAAATATTGTGGGAATCTTTTTAAAAATTCTATAGTTAGAATAAAAATTATGTTGACTTTTCGGTTCCAAAGCTTTGTAGAGCAGGATTCATTTGTTAAAAATGAATACACACACACACACACACACACACACACACACAAATATAGATACATGAACAAATGCATGTAGATATCTACACACACACACACACACACACTACTGTGATTTGAAATATTGCTACGTTTGTTTTAATGTACACAAATATGTATCATTTATTTATTTATTTCTTATATTTATATACTGCCAAATCTCTATGGTTGCAAACTTACAGTGGCCAAGAACTACTATACCAGTCCCGTTGAGCCAGGACCTAACTGGACTCAAGAGAGTTTGAAGTCCATCAATACAAAAAGATTGGGAGGAAGATCCATACCAGTGTGCATTGTTGATATGTCTTTTGCCTATTTTTTTCCATCCAGGGACTGTTAAGATCATATTACATAGAACATGATTAATATTAATCAGTATTGTTTTAATAATCTCTATTATGTGTATTTATGTGGGTCTTTTGTTAAATAGATACTCCAATTTACAATCCCAATTCAGATCAGTATTTCCATTGCTAAGCAAGGCAGTTGTTAAGTGAGTCATGCCTAATATTATGACCTTTTTTGCTATGGTTGTTAAGCAAATCACTGGTGTTGTTTAGTGAACCATGTGGTCATTAAACAAATCTAGCTTAACCTTGATTTTGGGTGTCTGAAGCTGGCTGGGAAGGTTTCAAATGGTGATTACAGGACCCCAGGACACTGCAACCATTGTAAATATATGTGTTGCCAAGCATCTGAATTTTGATCACATGCCTATGGGGAATGCTGTAACAGTTGTAAGTAGGAGAAACAATTGTAAGTCTGTTTTTCAGTGCCGTTGTAACTTTGAACAGTCACTAAATGAGTTGTAAGTCGAGGGCAACCTGCATTTAAATATTTAAGAAGTAAGCCTATTCTATAAACTGGAGTTTGAGCCAAACTGATAGGAAATTGTTAGGAAAATTGAAATAATGTATTTATTTTTAATGTAATGTATCTTTTAGTGGTATTTCCAACTCTAGTTAGTGCATGTGATATTAAGAATTAAAAGAACAATAGGGAAAACAACGAAGTGAATCACAGAATTCTAAAAAGACATATCAAACAGCAGAATCAAAACCAATTTGCCCCAGGCTTTTTGAAACAGCAGCTTTTCAAGTTAAGAACAAACTGCAGAAATACATTACTGTAAAGTGATAACCTTCTAGAAAAAGGATGCAACCTTTAATGGTAGCTTGACGCTCTTATATGCATGAGAAGAATAAAAGCAACATAAAGCAACGGCAGAATTTAACAAATTAAATGGTATGCGCTAGTTTCTTTTAATTAAACAATGCCATCTTTTGGGACCTAGGAAGCCTGCCTTCTGAGCTTCTTGTTTGAAACAGCATCACTTCAGACGTCTGTAAAGTTCTTATGTTGGTGATTTTCAAAAAGTTAGAGAAAACCTGGCTGTTTGCATTTTGAGCTTGGGTTAAGGGTATGCTAAGCTCTTGTGGAATATATACTTGATTATATTTTCCTCCTGACTCACGTGGTCTCTGTTTTTTTAATTATTTTTAACAATGCAAGCTGCCCACAGTCTTATGGAGTTGAGCAGCCTCTAAATACGACAAAAAAAAAAAAAAGGAATTTAGGTCAGGAATATGGTGAATATGGTATATAGTTGTATATGATATATGACTGCATAGGTTCAATTTAGCTTTGGATACTTACAGCCCCTCATTATTCTGGATGTTGAAATTCATTCCAACATATATTAAAAATGAATATTACTAATTCATGGATAGTAAAAGAATTGCTGAGAGCTAGATTGAAATACTGTATGACTCCAACTGTATTCTTGCAACGATTCTAGTCTATTTCTCTTACATTTTTCTGCAGATATTTTTCAGTTACTATATGGAATGGCATGAAAATATATTTGATAGTTCTATCAGAAGATAAATGTAAATTCAAAGATCTACTTAAAGAAAATTAAAATTGTTGAAAATAGTTATACTTCCATTGAAGACAATGGAATATCTGAGGGACTGCCACAGGAGAGAAGTGGGCTATTCTCCAAAGTACCTGAGGGCCGGACAAGAAGTAACAGTTGGAAACTTATCAAAAAGAGATCCAACCTAGAACGAAGGAGAAATTTCCTGACAGTGAGAACAATTAATCAGTGGAACAGTAGCCTCCAGAAGTTGTGAGGTTTTTAAGAAAAAAGGTTGGAGAGCAATTTGTCCGGAATGGTATAAGATCTCAATAAAGGAAAATATTTGTAGCATAGGATTGAAATGAGGTGTCCTTGGTGCTATCTGAGCTTTGTTGTTTTCTTCTAAAGTTTCACTATCCAGATTAAGTATAGGATCTCCTACCTAAGCAGGGAGGGATGTTGGACTAGAGACCTCCAAGGTCCCTTCCAATTCTGTTTTACTGTTACTGAGATTATAATAATAAAATGCTATATCTGTACAATAATTCTATACTAAATTAATTTCCTGTTAACTATGCTTGGGTTTGAATCTATATAACGAGAGGACTCAACTGATATATAATATTGCATTCATTAATATGATTGCTTGGATCTTGTTAAACTTGCAAATAAAAGAACATGGGGTATCTGTAGATGAAAAATAATAAGGATAAATTGCATTTAATCATTAGCAGATTGTTTAAAAACAAACTGCTTTGTTTCACGAGTTTTAAACTTTTAACATCTTCTATAAAGTTTTTAGACTGATAAGGGCAAAATAAATGGCTGAGAAATATTTTAAAATAACAATAGGCCTGGTACACTGTAGGGCTTGTGTGTCAAAGCAGATGCAGAGGCAATATGGGCCACACACACTGAGAGCTCAGTAAGGGGCCATTGAGGCTTGGCCAGCTAAACTGCTGCCACCTAAACAAACACCATAACAAGAGTCAGAGATTTACTGTTTGATCTAAGTAGGTGACCACTTGGAAGTAAATCTTTCTGAGTACTTCACCTAGGAGCTCTCTGCACATTGCAAATAATGGGACTCCTGCGAGACTTTCTCATCAGAGGTGGCAATTAAATTGATTAAAGAGCTCTTGATAAACAATATTTGGGAACTGGCAAACCTTTCGGTACAATCAGGTGGCAGATATTGTAGTTTCTTGTGAACATTAGTAAAGTTTTAGCCAGATAAATTTCTGGCATATGCAAAATTTGGCTCAAAAAGAAATCCTACAGCAGCATTTTATTTTTCAACATGATTAAAGCAAGAAAGTCATTTATCAATTCAATATACATTTTCTATTTTTTAAATATGCCTCTAAATGTTACCTAGCACTGATGATATTACCTAGTTTGGGTAATGAAACATCTGCAAGAAAACAAGCGAGCTCAGAGAACACCAAGGACCCTTCACCTCTAAATGTTTCCAAAATTATTACTCAAGGGCTTAAACTCAATTTAAATATCATTTTCATGTTTTGGATCATATATTCTGTGCTACAATTTTTGGTGTTTAGAATTGCTTGTTCAGTTGAATAGAAATAATTTCCTGTGAGGAAAACTTTTAAATCCTACATTATTGTCTAGACTTTTCCGCTTGGCAACATTATCTCGTGGACTCCAATTTTGTTTTGTTTTATTTTATTTTTAATATTAACAGAATTTAAGTCAAATTTAAATCTCACCCTGCCTATCATTTGGCCTTAGAGAAAGAGTAATTATAGAGTCTTCGTTGATTATAACCAATTGTAGAACATCATAAATAAAGATCAACAATTGAACTAAAGCTGGAGCATAGAGTGTGAACTAACCCTAATTTTGCCATGATGTGCAACTACCCACTAATGTTTAAATTGTATTTAAAAGTTACTACTGCCTGATCTCTAAAGCCAAAAATTTTCATCTGCTCTTTCATTTGCTTTTCTCATTTCTTTTGAAGCATTGATGCTCATTTTTCTTGAATAGATTATCCTTCATCTGAAATTCATTATTGTTAGTATTATGGAAGGATGATTGTGTGATTTCATAGCCATCTTCTGCTTTTCAGCAGTTAGCACAAACCATGGTACTGAACAGTGAAATTAGTGACAAGAAAATGGGTTTGAGAGTGTTTTTACTCTTTTTTTGATTTTGTTATCTGTTTCTTTGTGCCTGTAATTTTGTTGTTTTAATTATACAGTTATTTTCTTAAGGTTAAAGCAATTTCTTCAAAATCTTTCCAGCATCAGAAATACTTCTTTGCAGTCTGATTAAAGTAACAGAAATAGACTTTAAGATAGTTATCAAATAATGTTTTCTTAAACCATTTAGATACTGAGAAGTATTCTTTTTAATTCTATCTGTTTATTCACATTATAGATAAATTGATGTTTAAAGTGAAGAAATAAGTTGCATCACAAATATGCTTAAAATAAATTGTCTTACAGGTTTATAGATTAATGTCATAGATCCTGACCTACTGTATATCTTATAAATGCCTATTAATATATAGTTATCTCTCGCATCCCTCCCAATTAATTTAAAGGGTATAAAAAGCACCTGTATGATGACAAAGTGTGGGGAGAAACTGGAAGAGTGTGGGTTTTTGTTCCACCTTAGGCACAACACAAGAAGGGTAACCTTGTTCTAGCCACTTTATCTCACCTTTAGAAAGGAGGCAAAGATGTTTCTGAAACAGAAAAGTGATAGTATTGTTGAAAAGCGCATATATTGTTCCAGCATCTCTAGCCTACTATGTTTATGCTGGTATATATGTTACTTCTACTATGGAAAAAATCATTTGCATAATTAT